CACGCGCGCACGCGCGCAGTCGCACCTGTGGTTGGTCTGTGGACAAAGCTCCGCGCGCTCATTGGCTGCGCACCACACGGACCTGTTCCCCGGCTCTTCCTCCTGCTGCTCCTCCTCCCCCCGCTGCTGCTGCTGCTCCTGCCGCTGCTCGGGACTCACTCGGGTCCTGTCCTCACATGAGTCGAGTCGCCGCGCAAGTTTTACCTCTGGTCCGTCCTCGCGCCCCTGAAACCCTCGAGTCCCGGAGTGAAACTTTAACACGCGGAGGTTTGTTTGTGTTTGAGGCAGAGGAGGAGGTTCGGGGTTAGGTTCGGGTTCGGGTTCGGGTCCAGGTACGTGCACCGGGACGCAGAGGTTCGGGCTCGTGCACTCGTGACGTTTTTTTTTTTTTGTGTTTTTTTTTTTTTTTTGCGTAAAGTTTGTGTCTCGTGCGAAGGAGCGGAGCGCGCGCGTGCCGCAGAGCAAACACTGACATACATCTGATTTGACCAAAGCGCAGAACAAAACGTGCTGCTCCCGGAGTCGCGCCGAGTCACGCCGAGTCACAGAGACCTGGAGGAGTTGAAGCCGCTGGCGGGACTGTGGGGCTGAGGGTGAGAAGATTTACACAAACACCGATTTGTGTTTTTGACCAAAACAAATGAGAATTTATGCTCCTCTGTCCTGGTTTAGTCCTGGTTTAGTCCTGGTTAGTCTTTTCGGCTGTAGTCCTGGTGTAGTCCTGGTGTAAGTCCTGGCTTAGTCTGTTTAGACCTGGTTTAGATAGTTTAGGACCTGGTTTACCTGGTTTAGTTCTGGTTTAGGCCTGGGTTTAGATCTGATGTAGTCCTGGCTGGTTTAGTCTTGGTTAGCTTGGGTGTTAGTCCTTGGTGTAGTCCTGGGTTAGTCCTGGTTTATAGACCTGTTAAGACCTGGTTTAGACCTGGTTAGTTCTTGGTTTAGGCCTGGGTTTAATCTATGTAGTCCTGGCTGGTTTAGTCTTTGGATTTAGTCCTTTGGTTTTAGTCTAAGTTTAGTCTAAGTTTAGTCTAAGTTTAGTCTAAGTTTAGTCTAAGTTTAGTCTAAGTTTAGACCTGGTTTACTCCTAGGTTTAGTGCTGAATTTAGTCCTGGTTTAGAACTGGTTTAGTCTTGGTTTAGACCAAATGTTGTCCTGGTTTAGTCCTGGTTTAGTCTTAGTTTAGTCCTGGTTTAGATCAAATTAGTCAAAAATAGAGACACTGGGACATTTCTTGTATAAATTGGGACAAATCCGTGTTTTTTTGTATAAATCTGTGGGACACGGGACACAGACTCAGGTCTTGGACACTTTTTACTCTTTTAAATCCTTTTAAACACCATAACAAACCTCTCATACTGCAGGATCTTTACCGCCGCCTCACGTTGGGTCCAGACTGTGGTCCTGAACTCAAATCCCCTTCAGAGGATTAGAGCGGCTGTGTTCTCCGTCCGCCTCCTTTTCCCCGCTCACTATTGACACTTTCCCCTTTTCCTTTTTTTTTTTTGCGCAGGAGCCGGAGCGGTGACTGTGTGAACGGAGCTGGAATGCGACAGGATTCCAGGTCGACAGGTCTGACCTCAACCCGGGAGAGGCCGAGGGAACCAGACGATTAGCGCCGACGTTTCGCTGGGCCCCGCCGCTCTACGATGCGTTGGCGATGTCGACGGTGACGCACGTGATTCTGCAGGAGAAGGACGAGGAGATCGAGAAGAAGCTGGACTGGAGCTACATCGAATGGGCCGAGAACGAGAACGAGGTGGAGCCGGAGTCGGAGTCGGCGGGAGTTTGTTCCGTGCAAACTCAGACGGATTCGGAGTTGGGCGTCCCGGACCGCGCCGACAGAGAAACCCAAACGAGCAGCCCGATCATCATGCACATAGACCTGACGCGTAAGCACTCCAGGCTGCGGCACCTGTCCCTGGCGGACGGCGACGCCCTGGTCACGCCGTATTTCCAGTTCGACCGTCAGGCGCCCGGTCGGATCTCCACGTCGCCCACTCTGAGGCGCATGAGGAGCACCCGGAGGCCCCAGAGCGAGTCCATGGACGCCGCCGCCGCCGCCGCCACGATGGGGACGACTCAGGAGGAACCGTCGTCCGGCACGTCCGCGGGTTCCTTCTCGTCCTCGGTCTCTTCGCCGCCGCTGTCCCCCGTCCCCCGCGTGGTCTCGCCCCTCGCCCTCAGCCCGCTCCCCGACGGGCGCCGCAGTCCCGTTCTTCAGCACATTTCGTCCTCGGGGAAACAGCGGACCAAGTCGCACAGATCCAGGACTTTCGACCACGGGCAAACGTCGCCGCCGCGGACGGAACGCCACAGCGAGCGCCACAGCGAGCGCCTGAGTCTGTCCCAGGGGTTTGTGTTTCCGGAACGCAGCGAGTCACAGGTGAGTTTGTTAAAAAAAAAAAAACACATTTTAAACGTCCGATATTACGCAAAACTGACTCTTTTCTCCATGGAGACATTCTTCTTTTTGTCTGGAATGTTCCGCAGTACGACTTTAAACCTTTCTATCGTCACGGAGACCAAACCTAGACCAAGTTCCAGGTCAGATCTGAGATTCGGAGAGTCAGAGTGTCTGTATTTCAAGGTGTTTTTGAGCTGTAAAACCTGCACCTGTGACTGAATAAATGTAAAGTAGAGATGTTTAAAGTCACACTGCGGAACATTCCAGACAGAGCAACGACGTATCCATGGAAACAAGAAGCCGAAAAGTTACGTAATGCGCCTTAAAGCCGTGTTTTAACACTGTTCCCTCCTCAAAAACAAACCTGGAGTTGTGTTTTGTTTGAGTAACACTTTATTAGACCTGATGTAGTCCTGGTTTAGTTCTAGACCTGATGTAGTCCTGGTTTAGTTCTAGACCTGATGTAGTCCTGGTTTAGTCTTCGTTTAGTTTTAGACCTGTTATAGACCTGGATTACACCTTGTTTAGACCTTGTTTAGATCTCGTTTAGTCTTGGTTTAGACCTGGTTTAGACCTGGTTTAGTCCTGATGTGGTCCTGGTTTAGTCTTAGTTTAGTTCTAGACCTGTTTAGTCTTACTTGGTTTAGTCTTGTTTAGTCCTGGTTTAGTCTTAGTTTAGTTTTAGACTTGGTTTAGGTCTTGTTTTAGACCTGTTTTAGGTCTTGGTTTAGTCTCCTGGTTTAGTCTTAGTTTAGTTTTAGACCTGGTTTAGGTCTTGGTTTAGGTCTTGTTTTAGACCTGTTTTAGACTTGGTTTAGGTCTTGTTTAGTCCTGGTTTTAGTTTAGTCCTGGTTTAGTCCTGGTTTAGTCTGTTTTAGTCCTGTTTAGTTTAGTTTAGTCTTGGTTTAGTCCTGGTTTAGGTCTTGTTTTAGTCCTGTTTAGTTTTAGACCTGGTTTAGTCTTGTTTAGTCTTGGTTTAGTCTTGGTTTAGTCTTGGTTTAGTCCTGGTTTAGGTTTCTGGTTTAGTCTTAGTTTAGTTTTAGACCTGGTTTAGGTCTTGTTTTAGACCTGTTTTAGACTTGGTTTAGGTCTTGTTTTAGTCCTGGTTAGACCTGGTTTAGACCTGGCTTAGACCTGGTTTAGACCTGGTTTAGTCCTGAAGTGGTCCTGGTTTAGTCTTAGTTTAGTTCTAGACCTGGTTTAGGTCTAGTTTAGTCTTGGTTTAAGTCTAGTTTAGGTCTGGTTTAGTCCTGGTTTAGTCTTAGTTTAGTTTTAGACCTGTTTTAGACCTGGTTTAGGTCTTGTTTTAGTCCTGGTTTAGTTCTGGTTTAGTCCTGACTAACTCTTTATTTTTCGTCTGTCTACATTTCCAAAGCTCAAAACGTTCTGTTCCACCTCGTGATGTCATGATTTTGAACAGTTCCTTTTACCTTTAGTTCAGTGGAAATGTTCAGTTCCAGAGAAGCTGAAGTCGATTCTTTTGAAGGTTTGTGGAGTTTCACAGAACGTGTGAGGAAACCATGAAAGGGTCAGATGATGATGTTTACAGACACAGTTTCCTCGTCACAAACAGACGGACTTTTGTTTCATTCACAAGTTTAACTCACAAACTGCAGATTTACACTGAGCTCTTCTCTCACACAGAAACAAAACACTCTGTTCCACCTTGTGATGTCATCATGTGGTGATACAGGAAGTGCTCCACTGTGTTTTTAAACTCCACACACCTTCACTAGAATCATCTGGATCATTTCAGACCTGGACTTGCCGATCTCTACTGAACTAAAGACAAAAAAAAAAAAGTGAAACGTGAAAACTACCACTTCATGACATCACAAGGTGTTGTAGTAGTCGAGACTGATCCTGAGACTAAGACCAGTCTCGAGATTGTGTTGTTTTTTTGTTTTTTTTCCGGTCTTGGTCTCGTCTTAGACTCTACCGCGTTTGGATTCGGTCTTGTCTCGGACTCGGTCTTGTCTCGGACTCGGTCTTGTCTCGGACTCGGTCTTGTCTCGGACTCGGACTCGGTCTTGTCTCGGACTCGGTCTTGTCTCGGGCTCGGTCTTGTCTCGGGCTCGGTCTTGTCTCGGACTCGGTCTCTCGGTCTTGTCTCGGGCTCGGTCTTGTCTCGGACTCGGTCTTGTCTCGGACTCGGGTCTCTCGGTCTGTCTCGGCTCGGCTCGTGTCTCGGGCTCGGTCTCTGTTGTCTCGGACTCGGGTCTCTCGGTCTCGGGCTCGGTCTTGTCTCGGGCTCGGTCTTGTCTCGGGGTCTCGTGTCTCGACTCGGTCTTGTCTCGGACTCGGTGTTGTCTCGGACTCGGTCGTGTCTCGGACTCGAGGTCTGATACTCGTCGAGTGATAAAAATGGAGATCGATTTATAAAAACATTGATGTATTTGTGACAAAACACAAATAAATGTTGAAAATTTCTATCCAAAACTGTCTCGATTTGGTCTCGATGGGCCATGGTTCTGGTCTTGTCTCGGTCTCAGCCTTTAAAAGTCTCGATCTTCTCTCAGTCTCGACCCTCAGAGGTCTTGGTCTCTGGTCTCTGGACCCTGTGGTCTCGTCCTGGTCTCTGGACCCTGTGGTCTTGTCCTGGTCTTGTCCTGGTCTTGGTCTCGATTAGTTTGTGAGTTACTCAAACATGTGAATGAAACAAAACAAAACACAACTCCAGGTCTTCAGGAGGAAACAACATTAGAACACGACTTAAACCTGAAGAGAATCAGTTTTTGTGTAATTTAGGATCTTTAAACTATTATTAAACTAGAATCACGTGTATTTCAGAAAAGGTTTGTAGAAGTTTAGACTAAATATAAATGGATTTTATAAACACCACTGTTAGTTTTTATAGTGAAAATCCTGAAAGTTTCTCTGCTTCCGTTCATTCTTAAATAAAGACGTCACACTCTCTTCTTTCTTTCTTTCCTGTAATCTGCGGTTCCCACGTCGTGTACTGTACGTCTCCGCCGCAGATTCTTTTTTTAATCCTGCTCTTTAAATTAAATGCCCCACACATTCTTGTAACCTGGTCTGGGCCGGAGCCTTGCCTCCCGCGGCGCTCGTCACAATGCCGCCTTTTGACGCCAAATGAATCAGCAGTTATAGAGTCTGACAGCTGGGACCAAACCCGCGGCCCCCGAGCCTCGGGAGGGGCTCCGGCGGGGGCCCCCGTCCCCGCGGTCGGCCGTCGCCCCATAATAGCGAGGTCAGTGAGCGATGGGCAAACACAAAGGGCAGATCTGTGGAGCGGCGCGGGGCTTTTTCTGAGCGCGGCCGTGACCATTGGACTCCGGTATCAGAGCGTTTGAGGCGGCGCGGCTTCTTCAAACACTCGATTGAGAACGGCCGGTCTTTGAAAGTGATCTGGTGCTGTTGTTCGCCGCAGGACGTCGTCTCACCAGCTTCTGTTTTTATTTGCAGAGGAAGTGACATCAGGCTAATCCCGACCGTGACTTTTGTGCAACGTTTGGTCAAAAGTTAAATCGTTTTCATTTGTAAACGTCTTCTATGTGACGCGTTCTAAAACTGTTACCTCCTCAAAAATGTTTCACAGTGTGGCTTTAAAGCTTTCTGTCGTCATGAAGACCAAACCAGACCAAGTTACAGATCAGATTGAGGTTTAGTAGACCTGGTCTAGACCTGGTCTAGACCTGGTTTAGTCCTTGCTTAGACGTGGGTTGGTTCTGGTTTAGTCCTCATTCAGTTCTGGTTTGGTCCTTGTTTAGACCTGGTTTAGACCCGGTTTAGACCTTGTTTAGACCTTGTTTTTGTCCCGGTTTTGACCCGGTTTTGACCTGGTTTAGACCCGGTTTAGACCTGTTTTAGTCCAGGTTTAGACCTACTTTAGTTCTGGTTTAGTTCTGGTTTAGTCCTTGTTTAGTCCTTTTTGGTTTAGACCCGGTTTAGACCTGTTTTAGTCCAGGTTTAGACCTACTTTAGTTCTGGTTTAGTTCTGGTTTAGTCCTTGTTTAGTTCTTGTTTAGACCCGGTTTAGACCTGGTTTAGACCCGGTTTAGACCTGGTTCAGTCCTAATTTATTCCTGGTTTAGTCCTCTTTTAGACCTGGTTTATTTTTTGTCTGGAATATTCCACAGTATGGCTTTAAAACTTTGTCTCTTCATGGAGACCAAACCAGACCAAGTTCCAGGTCAGATCTGTGGAGAGGCGACTCCGCTCACAGTCACAATGTTTGTTTTTCTCTGTATTTTTGAGTTTTAAATCCACCTGTAACTGAATAAATGTAAAGTCGAGCTGTTTAAAGTCACACTGTGGAACATTTGAAGCAGAGCGATGACGTCTCCATGGAAACAAGAAGCCAAAAAGTTACATAATGCACCTTTAAGCTCCGTTATAACGCTGTTCTCTCCTCAAAAACAAAACTTTTCAGTAGAAATTGTCAATTCCAGAAACGCTGAAATGATCCAAATGATTCTAGTGAAGGTGTGTGGAGTTTAAAAACACAGTGGAGCATTTCCTGTATCACTGCATGACATCACAAGGTGGAACAGGGTGTTTTCGGATTGAGAGTTATGAGAACTTGGCCTAAAAATGCAGGATTTATGTGTTAAACGTGAGAGTGAAACAAAAACAAAACACAACTCCAGACGTTTGTGACCAAAAATGCAGTTGTAATTTCAGGATTATTATTTAAATTTCCAATATAAAGTTATTATTCTCATTGAAAAAAAAACTGGATACACAATACTGATTTTGATACCACAATAACAAACAAAACTCCATTATGTTTTGCGATGTCGTTTTCATAATGACATAATGACTGGATGTGTTTAATATTAGAATGTGGTCAGAGACTCGCCCTGTGAACGTTTAAACACACCCACGTTCACCCACGCTCAGGGTTTTTCTACTTTCTCTGTTTAAAATACAAACACAAGACATCAAATATATGAAATAAAACTTAGGGAATCATGTAGTGAAGAAAAAAAAGTCCAATAATTCTGCTATTTTTATGTGTTTTTTAATGTTTTCTTTTCAAATCCTCAAAATGGCCGCTTGTTGCTTTGGCAAAAAATATTTACTCGGACTCAATCTTGACTTAGTCTTGCTCCTCTCGGTCTCGGTTCGGTCTTGTTCGACTCTCTTGTCTCGGGTCTTGTCTCGGACTCGTCTTGTCTCGGACTCGGTCTTGTCTCGGACTCGGTCTCGGTCTTGTCTCGGACTCGGTCTTGTCTCGGACTCGGGCTCGGTCTTGTCTCGGACTCGGTCTGGACTCGGTCTGGTCTCGGACTCGGTCGTCTGGTCTCGGACTCGGTCTTGTCTCGGACTCGGTCTGGTCTCGGACCCGGTCTTGTCTCAGACTCGGTCTTGTCTCGGACTCGGGCTCGGTCTTGTCTCGGACTCGGCTCGGTCTTGTCTCGGACTCGGGCTCGGTCTTGTCTCGGACTCGTCTGTCTCGGGGCTCGCTCGTCTTGTCTCGGACTCGGGGCTCGGTCTTGTCTCGGGCTCGGTCTTGTCTCGGCTCGGTCTTGTCTCGGTCTCGGGTCGGTCGTGTCTCGGACTCGGTCGTGTCTCGACTCGGTCGTGTCCGGACTCGGTCTTGTCTCGGACTCGGTCTTGTCTCGGACTCCTCGGTCTTGTCTCGGGCTCGGTCTTGTCTCGGACTCTCGGACTCGGGCTCGGTCTTGTCTCGGCTCGGTCTTGTCCTCGGTCTCGGTCTTGTCGACTCGGGCTCGGTCTTGTCTCGGACTCGGTCTCGGTCTTGTCTCGGGCTCGGTCTTGTCTCGGACCGGTCTTTGTCTCGGCTCGGTCTTGTTCTCGGACTCGGGCTCGGTCTTGTCTCGGACTCGGGCTCGGGTCTTGTCTCGGACTCGGGCTCGGTCTTGTCTGGGCTTGGTCTTGTCTCGGACTCGGTCTTGTCTCGGACTCAGTCTTGTCTTGGTCTCGGACTCGGTCTGGTCTCGGTCTCGGGCTCGGGTCTTGTCTGGGCTTGGTCGTTGTCTCGGGCTCGGTCTTGTCTTGGACTCGGACTCGGTCTTGTCTCGGACTCGGGCTCGGTCTTGTCTCGGACTCGGTCGGTCTCTGGGCTCGGTCTTGTCTCGGGCTCGGTCTTGTCTCGGTCTCGGCTCGGGTGTCTCGGACTCGGTCGTGTCTCGGACTCGGTCGTGTCCGGACTCGGTGTCTCGACTCGGTCTTGTCTCGGACTCGGTCTTGTCTCGGACTCGGGTCGGTCTTGTCTCGGACTCGGCTCGGGTCTCGGACTCGGGCTCGGTCTTGTCTCGGACTCGGGCTCGGTCTTGTCTCGGACTCGGGCTCGGTCTTGTCTCGGACTCGGGCTCGGTCTTGTCTCGGACTCGGGTCTTGTCTCGGACTCGGGCTCGGTCTTGTCTCGGACTCGGGCTCGGTCTTGTCTCGGACTCTCGGTCTTGTCTCGGGCTCTGTCTCGGTCTTCTCGACTCAGTCTTGTCTTGGTCTCGGACTCGGTCTGGTCTCGGTCTCGGGCTCGGTCTTGTCTTGGGCTTGGTCGTGTCTCGGGCTCGGTCTTGTCTTGGACTCGGACTCGGTCTTGTCTCGGTCTCGGTCTTGTCTTGGACTTGGTCTTGTCTCAATGTCAAAATGAAAAATCAGATAATGATTAGTTTTTTTTTTCAGTTTTCAATTTTGTGTTTAAATGAATAACGGCCTGAACCAGGACTAACACAGGACTAAAACAGGACTAAACCGGTCCCGGTGGTCCCGGTCTCAGTCTCGGTCTCAGTTCTGGTCTGGCCCCGGTCTGAAGTCCTGATCTCAGTCCCAGTCTCAGTCACCCAGTCTTTTACCGGTCTCAGTCCGAGTCTCAAGTCCCGGTCTCAGTCCCGGTCTCAGTCCCGGTCTCAGTCACCCAGTCTTTTACCGGTCTCAGTCCCGGTCTCAGTCCCGGTCTCAGTCCCGGTCTCAGTCCCGGTCTCAGTCCCGGCCTCAGTCCTGGCCTCAGTCCTGGCCTCAGTCTGGTCTGGCCTCAGTCCTGGTCTGGTCCCGGACCTGGTTTAGTCCTGGTTCAGTCCATATGCAGCCCAAAAGTCCAGCTTCGCAGTTTAAGTCACGTAAACAGGAAACGGCCGTTATCCGTTTTTTTTCCATTTTTCATTTAAACACAAAACTCAAAAACTGAAAAAACGAATCATTATCTGTGTTTTTCATTTTGGTTTTGGAGACAAATAATGAAGAAAGTAGTTGTTTTTTTATTTTATTTCATTTCATTTCATATTGAAAAACAAATAAACGAATGACACACAGATTCAGTTTTGTTTTATTTCTGTTTATTTTTCAGCTTTGGTCATTTTTGCAGATGAGAGTTTAGTTTCATTGTGGGTTTTAGTTTGAAATAATGTGTATTTTTATTTAATTATCTGAGTTTGAGAGCATTTTAAACTCTCTGACATGTGATTTTTGTGACATGTTTTCTTTAATAATCTGTATTTCTTTATTTATTTATGACCTAAAACCAATAATGTCGTATACTACATTAAATATTGTACTTTTCCACGGTGGTTTCTGACGTTTTCCTCTTGTGTTTTGCAGGAGGAGCTGAGTCATAACAGGTGAGTGAACTTTGAGCTGCTTTGCATGTGTGAGCGGAGTCGACCTTTGCATAAAACTGTCGCAATCAAAAAAAGAAGAGTCACTGTCTGCACCGCGGAAACATTTACATAAAACGTCCGAGCAAAACTAAAAAACGCAAAACCGTCTCGAAAGGCGCTTTGTGTAACTTTAATTTTTCCCTGGAGGCTCCGTCAAATACTTTTATTTACAGAGTTGTTGTTGCTTTTTCTGGAATTTTCTCTCTGTTTTTGGTTTCTTCCACCTCAGCTCGTTTGACTTTTCAGTTCAGAAGTTAGTTTGGAAATTCCAGGGCTGAAATTATTCAAATTTGGCCGAGAGCGAGAGGCCGCATGTCTGACACTCCTGGTCTCTGTAGTTTAGTTTTTGTTTGTTTGTTTTTTTAGCTGTTGCTGCATCATAACTCTTCATTTAAACCACAGGTGTCAAACATACGGCCCGGGGGCCAGATCCGGCCCTCCAAGACCTTTAATCTTGCCCTCGGCTGATTTTCTACTAAAATATTTGAATTATATTTTTATTAAAATCTTGTTAATTTTCTGTGGTGTTTATCACAGCAGCGTCTCCAGCGTCTCTGTACGTGGCCCCTCCCACCAGAGCAGCACAAATGAAGACTTGTCTCTTTCCAAACGCTCTTAAAGGACGATCGTTTTGACTGTTGACCGTGACACCCTCATCAGAAAAATGTCCAACATGAGAAAAGTGGAGCCGAGTGCAGGATTTTACAACAAAAATTGAATTATTTCTATTTGCATACGAGTGAAAGTTAAAACTTTGTGTTGAAATTGGATTTTCCTTAAAGTTTCAGGTTGTTCATAATATTATAATATTTTGTAAAAGAAAGAGTTCATCAATTAAAAAAGATTTCTGTAATAGATTTGTGTTTCTCTGCACAAATATTTGAACTTATTGTTATTTTTGGGGTTTATATGACATGAGTTTTCTGATCCGGACACTTTGGGATCAGAGTCGGTTGGACACGACCCCCGGAACAAAATGAGTTTGACTCTCCTGATTTAAACAAAGAGACTTATAATTCGATCTATTGTGATGGTCCACGATGTTATTGTGAGAACTTTGACGATACGATATCTCGATATTGTTACATCCGTACTTGGAACGTCTTATCCCGTTTTTATTTTCATAGATCCTCGCTCTGATCTCGCTCTAGCTGCTGTCTCCGATCGGTCAGAACCGGTCCGAGGTTTACGTGACGTCACAAAGTGGGCGGGGTGATCTTATATTGCGGAATGAACGCGGAATAAACAGTATTTTCCCGAGCGCAGGCCTCTGAAAACAACACGACGGCGCGTTTTGGTTCATCTCGGGATCTGATGAGAGGCTCCATTGTCCATTCATTGTGCCGCGTCTTTGTTCACGGGGGAACCGGCTGAAGTTTGGACAAGTCCCCCGGTTCTGTTCGGGCTCATTAAGGCTGTTTTCCTCCAGCCTCGCCCCCCGTTTTCCCCTTTTTACTGGATAATTAGTCCGTCTATTGTCTCGGTAATGACGCTCTGTGCTGCTCCTCTCGGTGTCCGGGCCGGGGAAGCCTCTGCTCGACGGGGACAGTTTTGTTTGTGGGAATCGTGTTCTGTTCCAGGGACAAAGGTTGGTTTCTGTGGGAGTTTTGGGTGGACACAGACACAAAGACACAGGCTCGTACTTGTGCCCGGGACAGAACGACGGACGGGGAAGACGAGTGACCTGGTTAGAAGAGCGTGTCTCATTAAAGCCTCAGGTGCTGGAGGAGGATCGTACGAATTTAACCGCTGAACGCTGGAATTTAGAGCAGAATATGAAGAACGCAGTGATGAAACCTGGACTAAAGCCTGTACGTCCATTTATTAACCATTTATTCAATTATTGGTCAGTTGAGTCTAAAGGCTGTTCAGACCTGGAATCAAGAGTCCGGTCCTGGTCCTTTCCCGAAACAATGGACCAGACTTTAGTGTTTTTATTATGTAAAAACATCAGCGGAGGAGATCAGATGGTCTAGTCCTGGTCTAGGCCTGGTTTAGTTCTGGTTTAGTCCTGGTCTAATTCTTGTCTGGTCCTGGTCTAATTCTGGTCTGATCCTGGTCTAGTCCTGGTCTAGTCCTGGTCTAGTCCTGGTCATGTCCTGGTTTAGTCCTGGTCCGGTTCTGGTCCGGTTCTGGTCTAGTCCCCTCGTCTGGTTCCGGTCTAGTCTTGGTTTAGTGCTGGTCTGGTCCTGGCTTAGTCCTGGCTTAATCCTGTTCTAGTCCTGGTTTAGTTCTGGTTTAGTCCTGCCCTGGTCCTGGTCTAGTCCTGGTCTGATCCTGGTCTGATCCTGGATTAGTCCTCGTATAGTCCTGGTTTAGTCCTGGTCTTGTCCTGGTTTAATCAGAGTCTGATCCTGGATTAGTCCGGGTCTAATTCTGGTCTAATTCTGGTCTAATTTGGTCTAATTCTGGTCTGATCCTGGTCTGATCCTGGTCTAGTCCTGGTCTGGTCCTGGTCTAGTCCTGGTCTAGTCCTGGTCTGGTCCTGGTCTGGTCCGGGTCTGGTCCGGGTCTGGTCCGGGTCTGGTCCTAGATTAGTCCCGGTTTAGTCCCGGTTTAGTCCCGGTCAAGTCCCGGTCATGTCCTGGTTTAGTCCTGGTCCGGTTCTGGTCTAGTCCTCGTCTGGTCCCGGTCTCGTCTTGGTTTAGTGCTGGTCTGGTCCTGTCTTAGTCCCGGTTTAGTCCCGGTTTGGTCCTGGTTTAGTCCCGGTTTGGTCCACATAAACTTTACAAACAAACTTGACGCTCTGGTGTGAACGAGTCTTGATCTAATCCACATTTCACAAACAGTTTCCAAAATGCTGCACAAATACAACAACAACAACAACAATAAAACGATCAAATAAACGCTCACATTTAATCACACTAATCTTAAAATAATAAAACCAGTCAAATAAAATAAGAGCAAAGTCACAGAATAGCAGTAAATAAAGCCAATAAAATGCATTAAAAATAAATAAAATGCTGTAAATAAAAGACACAGAGGAGCAGACAACTCGGGCGGTGAGAGTTAAAGTGGGACTTAAAGGGACAGTCCAGAGTTTTGGACATCGGGCCTCGTTTCCTCGTGAACCAGAGACACTTTTTAAATATTCCATCCAGTCCTTGTATTTTCAATATATTATTTTTGTTTTTTGTTTGAGTTATACAATACACAAAAAAGAAAACAGCTGAAAAACAAAAACACCGCGCCCACCCCGCTCACCCACAAAAAAAAAAAAAAAAAAAAGGGGGGAGGATGTTTCTCACAAGTCGTTCACACAGATACACAGACGTCAGTTGAGGCGACATTCACATAATCCAAGTCAGGCTGCCATAGTCTAACAAGTCTTATAAGTCCAGTGTTGGGAGTAACGTGTTATAAAAGTAATGAATTACAGTAATGCATTGCTTTTTGCTGTAACGCAGTAATGTAAGACATTACAGGGGAAAAAATAGTAATATTTTACTCGGTACAAATGTGAGTAACGCGCGTTACAATGTTTTTTTAACATGGATCGAAGTGGTGTGTTTTTCTTCATACAAATTCGCTAAAATCACCGCGATATCAGCAGCGGGGAAACGCCGGAGACGTGGCCGCGTAGATCTTCAGGTAACCGCGGGGAAAGGACCGACACAGAACTCTACGCTGTTTAGACCTGGCTTAGACCTGGGTCAGTTCTGGTTTAGACCTGGTTTACAGTCGTCCGAAGTGCTGTATGTTTGCAAGTTTTCTCCCCGACAAAAACCACAACGTCGACAAAACGTTCTGCACTGACAAAGGCTCCTGCGCTCGCACCCAAAAGGCAGAGGAAGATGCTCACTATCGCACAAAAAGTTGGACTTATGGACACGCTGAAGGAAGGTAGAAGTTACGCGCTGTAACAGACTCTTGCACCGGGTCTTGTACCTGCAAATAGTTGCTGAAATCAGGGCCGCGAGCCCGAGCAGCAGGGTCCATAAAGAGCGATCGGGCGACAGCCGCTCTTACCTCCATGAGGTGTGGAGCAGAGCCGCTCCTTTCTCCTGCGTCACCTTCGAGCCCGTCCTGACAGTGAGTCCTGTTTTAGTCCTAGTTCAGTTCTGGTTTAGTCCTGTTTTAGTCCTAGTTCAGTCCTGGTTTAGTTCTCCTCTTCAGTCCTGGAATCAGTCCGAGGTTAGTCCTGTTATAGTCCTGGTTCAGTCCTGGTTCAGCTCTGGTTTAGTCCTGGTTTAGACCTGGTTTAGACCTGGTTTAGTCCTGGTTCAGTCCATATACGGCGCAAAAGTTCAGCATCTTCGCAGTTATTTTGGTGAGAGTAACTTAAAGTAATGCAATAGTAATGTAACGCCTTACATTTTAAATGCAGTAATATTGTAATGTCACGAATTACTTTGAAATGACAGTAATAAGTAATAAATAACACATTACAGTTTTAAAGTAACTTGCCCAACAGTGTATAAATCCAAGTGATCTTTTCCAAAGTCACACAGTTGTTCATTTCTGAATCAGATTTCCAGGTGACTGCACTGCAATAGTAGGTTTTACGTGAACTCCTTTAGTCTGTCTACATCTCCAAAGCCCAAAACTACGGCTCGACCGATATTATCAGCTGATATGGGCTCTTGGAGACATATTAGACCTAAATCTTGCCGATCTGGGTCGATAGTCCACGTGGGCAGGTCATACGTCGTTATAAAGCTCAGACTCTCTACATTATGTCCATTTAATCCAATTTACAGGCAGATAAATGTCTGAATATGTGGCAACACTTCAGTAATTTGTCTGTGACGCCTGTTCACACACGCAGCTGCTGTCAACATGCTGGATTATATTATTTTTACGGATGATTATTTTGAGTCAGGATTAAAAGGACGCTTATTAGTGCAGACTTGTGATCTGAGAGGAGCCTGTGTGAGGCTGAGTGTTGCAGATGTGTCGGTTTTGAAGTTAGTTTTGGTTCTTTCTCGTTGTTGATCTGCTGTAGCTCCACATAAACACTC